CGAATTTATTTCAAAAGAAGCGACGTACAAGTTCTATTTTTTTAAAGTATGTGCTTATTTACATAATTGATTACCAATGAATGTTTATCAAAAAAAGCCAATTTTATCACCGGCTACGGCTATTTAATTTTCTGATTCGGAATTCTAAAAAAGAAAGTATGATCTTTTAAACTCCCACTTATTTTGAAAAAAAAGTTAATTCTGAAACCCCATTACAAATAATTTCTCATCCAGGGTGGGTATAACGATCATTGATCAGTCAAATTATTTATTATTCATTAATTTTTTTTTATCTAATAATTTAACAGATAATGATTACTATTAATCAATATAATGCAATCTATTCGCCACATTAAATTTTTCTTATTTTGAGTCGTTTATCTACGTTTGATTTAACCATAAGCAAGTGATCAATATATTTACTCTCTTCTCATGTTCAAATTGTATAAAAAATAGTTGTTCTTGATCTTTTTCAAATCAGATCGTACTACGTCAAGTTGGACTATTATACTATACCTGATACGCTTATACCTGTACGTATCTGGCATATACCTGACATGTACATCCAATACGTACGTATGGCAAGTATACTAGAAAAAGTTATTTCTAACGAGCATATTAATCTTAAATCTTGATCAGTTGGGTTTGTGACGTATTTATTTCATGCCGGTTGTTAAAAGTAACGATTTTAATTCGTTAGTCGATTTTTTAAAATTTTGCCTTTATCGTTATGGGATGTAGTAAATTTATGAAGTAAATAGCCAAAGTTTCCGATTGATTATTGCTATAAGACTTTCGGTTTTAATTAACTCTGAACTGACGTATCAGAATTTATTTTTGTGACTTTCCTCTTATCGTTATTTGCGTAAAAGCGATAATCAAGAAAATCTGCAATTACTGTAAAATTTATACAAAATGATATTTTTTTATTCTTAAATTTTTTTTTACTCTAAAAAAACTTTTTTCTATCTTTACTCGATCTATTTCAATAACGTAAACGCAACTCATTCCTCAGCAAAAAACGCAATTTAAGCCAAAACACTGGGCTCTTGTGAAGTTTGTAATTTATTAGTTTCCCGAACCTATTCTCCCAAAGAATTAAATCTCTTTCTAACTAATTTGAGCGTGGTCGACAAAGCTTATACTTCTGATTCTGTTGAATTTGGTCATGGCATTTCTTGTTTTTGAGCGGATTGGGTAGAAAGAATAACAGTTGGAGATTCAATGAATTTTGCTATAGCGTGTAAGGTTCAAGACGAGAATGTAAAACCATTTATGTTGGGCGGGGTCCATACAAACACAGAAATGAGAAGTGACATACAAGAACAATGAATATTTCCACACCTGGCGAGTTAAAAATATCAGGTTTGTTTGTTTATTTTATTTGTTAAATATTTTTTCGATTGATACAACCAACTAATGATGAATTATTTTTCTTGATTTCGGATGCAGAACCAGGGCCGATGATTTTCTGCGGTGGTTAAGACTAAATTATGCGTGTGGTTAAGACAAATTCTGTGATTTAATGTGATGAAATTTTTGTCTAATTCTGTGGTGACGTTCCGTGACCTAATGCGATTATAAAATTTTCCAAAGCAACTAATTCCGGTGAACATGCTCGTAATTTACGTTGATTTATTGTCTACATTTACGGCATTTCCCGACGCTGGCTTGAATTTATGGTCAGATCTCATAGACAGACATTCGTCTGATTGGCTGATGTAAATCAATTGCCGGGTAACTTATTTATACAGTTTAAAAGCCATTTTTCGCTTCGTAAGAACGTTTATATTCACCATGCAAAAATAATCAAAAATAATCAGTAACTACAAGA